GGTTGGGGGGGGGGGGGGTTTGTTTTTTTTGAATTATTGGACAGGAATTGCGTGTGTTGCTTGTCTGCAAAGTATCATTAAAAAGGATGGAGTCGGCAACTGCATTCAAAATGCACCACGCGGAAAAAAAAAAGAAAAAAAAATGAATGTAAAGGGGGGGGGGGGTCAAAACTCGTTCTGGATCCTACCGTTTGTCGAGCACTTTGCAATTTGCCCGTATTTTGTTGTGCGTCTTTTTTTTTTCTTTTGTATTTCTTTGCTCTTTGTAAACGTCTTGCCTACCGGAAAAGACATGCTTCATTAGGTGACAGAGTACACATTTGTGTTAAGACAAATATTTTTTGTACACAAACAAAAACACACATTTAAGCGAACTTGATATGAGACAAGTGGGGGCTGAGGCGGACTTTTTTAGGGCTGTAGCAACAAAGGATTTGACACTCCTGCGGCGTCTTATAGCAGCCAAAAAGGATGTCAATATACGTGGTGAGCGCAATCGCACCCCACTGCATATGTGTGTTTGGGACAACTATGTAGATGGGGCACGCGTCCTGCTGGAAGCAGGCGCCGACATCAACGTGTATGATGATCTGCATGACACACCGTTTCTCCTTGCTGGTGCGGAGGGTCGCGTGGAAATTATGAAGTACATGCTGAAGTATGCCAAACCAGACTTGACGCTGTGCAACCGTTACGGTGGCTCGGCGCTTATTCCAGCATGTGAGCGCGGTCATGTGGAGATGGTAAATTTGTTGATAAAAGCTGGCGTCAATGTGGACCACGTAAACGATTTTGGGTGGACGGGACTGCTGGAAGTGTTGGAACTTGGCGGCGACGATTTGGACCACGTCGAAATCACAAAGGCGTTGATTGCGGCGGGTGTAGATGTGAACCTCGCCGACAGGGAGGGGAGGACGCCACTTTACCTGGCAAAAAAGCACAACCTTAAGCGCATCACGAAACTTCTTGAGGAGGCAGGGGGCCGAGTATGAGAAGGAACTCAACGGCCAACACAAAAACGAAACGATGGGAAGAAAAAAGGTTTATCATGCTCTTTTTTTCTTCTTCTTCTTCTTCTTCTTATTATTATTATTATCCTTTTTGAATGGTAGAGTAAGGCATGGACCGCTTCAGCTTTTTTTTTTTGTGAGAAGGGGTTTTATTTGGGAGCGTGTGCCTTGCGTGTGCGTATACATTTCTGGAGAAGCCATGCGAGTGAGAACACACACACACACGAAAAAAAAAATGTATGTTTTTTGAATGAGCTGTACTTTTCTGTGTTCCTTACTATGGATGCAAATGCTTAGCATCTAGATGCATGTATACTTGTATCTTTGATTATGATAGCGGTATAGGAACTCTGTGTGTGCTGCTAGTAGTGAGTTGTGGTTGCTTTTGTTGTTATTGTGGCCTTTACATTATTTTCTACAACTTTATATGATGTTGTCGCCGTTTGACTTCTTTTTTTTTTTTCCTTTTATTTATTTATTTCTGTTGCCTGCCTTTTTCCTCCTTTTATTTAATTTAGTTTTTTTTTTGTTTTTTTTTTTGCGTCTCTTTTCTTCCCATGAGCGTGGTGCGCCCGGACATTTACGTGGACGTGGAGCTGAGGGGAACGCGGGTGCATCCCCGTGTCATAATTATGCTGGTGGCGGTGCTCCTGGTCGTCATTCTCGTTGTGGTTTTGGTGTATTTTTTGTGCCGTTTTTTTGTAAGGGCGCAGTACAGCCAACAGAAGCGTGTGAACGCCGATTCAACCAACGTGGGGGGCCGGAGGTCATTTCAACTTAACTGCGACGATACGGACATTTGGAAGAGAACCTTTTTTGGGATTGTTTGCGACAACAAAAAGTACGTTCACAATGCGGCGGCGCTGCATGCAGTTTACTGTGTGCCGCTGGACTTGCGGCTCTGCGACCCGCTTTCGAACGACGAACTCTTCATGGACAAGAATTGCTTTTCTAGAGCGTGCGAGCGTCGCCGTATGCTGAATGATGTCTTTGGGACTTTCGTCCATGATGTGAGGAGGAGTTCGAATGCTGAGACGGTGTCTCCCGGGCCAAAATGTCGAGAGGCCTCCGCGACGTTGCAAAGTGGGCCGAAGTCGCAACTTATCAACAAAATTTAATGGATGCTAATGGAATTTTTTTTTTTTCTTGTATGGGGGAAAGGGGGTTTGTTTTAAATTGACGGTGGTAGTTGTGGTGGTGATGTCTGGGCGATGAAGATTTGACCGCTGCGGTTCAGTGAAGTATGAGTGGGTGGGGCGTAAGGATTGGCCGTGAATTTATGAATGACGGAGGTGGCAGCACAACTGGGCTGTTGTTTTCTTTTAAAACTGTGAGAAGATTTCTCACGTTGCCGAGGGTAATTTTTTTTCTTTTTTGGATGACAAGATGTGCACATTTCTTTGCGTTCCTTTTTTTTCTTTTTTTTTTTTTTGGGGGGGGGGGGGGGATGAGTACGTGTGTGTTTTTCCTTGCAGGTGATGCTGGATCGTTCTTGCTTGCACGGGCGCAAAACAACACTGAATTTAACGATCTTTAACACTTATTTGTTGCCACTTTATTTTCCTTTTATGTTTCATTGTTTTTTTTTTTTTTTTTGGTGGATGGGGTCAGGAGGTTTGTTGTTGTTTTTTATTCTGCTCTTTTGGAAGTTGTGAGGCGGTGTCTCTCTGTGTATTTCTGTCTGTGCTCACGCCATGTCACTTGAGCCAACGCTGAGGGACTTGTTGCATTCCAAACTTCAGTGGATCTTTGTTGGTGGTAAAGGCGGAGTTGGCAAAACGACCACTTCTTGCGCCTTGGCAACTCTCTTTGCCTCCACGCCCGTGCACGATGCGGTGACGAATACGACACGCCCACGAAGGGTGCTGCTTATTTCCACGGATCCCGCGCACAATCTTAGCGACGCCTTCAGCCAGAAGTTTGGCAAGACGCCGGTGCCTGTGAATGGCATGGAGGAGACGCTTTTTGCGATGGAAGTGGACCCAACGACATTCACTCACGGAGGATTTGGCGCCATGCTCGGGTTTCCGGGGCACATCGCAACAGACGCGGACGCGCCATCGCCATTTGCGGCGCTTGGCAATATTCTGAAGGAAGCGGCGGGGACGCTGCCTGGAATTGACGAGCTTTCGGTGTTTGCGGAGATTTTGCGTGGCGTTCAGCAGCTTTCATATGACGTGGTGATTTTTGATACCGCGCCAACTGGTCACACGCTGCGTCTCCTTGCTCTGCCCCACACGTTGAACTCTACCATGGAGAAGCTGTTGTCGGTGGAGGGGCTGAACACTTTGATTCAGGCTGCGTCAGCCGTTCTGTCATCTACGACCAACCTTGGCGACATGTCGTCGCTGATGCCTGCTTTTAAGCAGTGGCGGGAGAATGTGCAGGAGGTGCAGCGGCAGTTTACGGATGCTGAAAAGACTGCCTTTATCTGCGTCTGCATCCCTGAGTTTCTTAGCGTGTATGAGACGGAGCGATTGGTCCAGGAGCTGATGAAGTACGACATCAGCTGTGATAGCATCGTGGTCAACCAGCTCGTTCTGAAGCCGTCTAGCGAGCCAGACTGTCGCATGTGTAATGCCCGACAGAAGATACAGTCAAAGTATTTGGCACAAATTGACTCTCTTTATGAGGACTTCCACGTGGTGAAGATGCCACTGCTGAGCGATGAGGTACGTGGGGTCCCTGCGCTCCAGCGATTTGCGCAATTCCTGCTGGAGCCGTACGATGCCGATCGTCACGGGTACATTGACGTCTGCGGAGCTGCATCGTAAGGGAGGAGCACCGAAAGGACGGGAGCAGATGGAAGAAAAATGATGTGGACGCGAAAGAGACAAATATACGAGAAGCATATTTGAGCCGGAGAGGGGAAAATAAAAGAAGTTAAGAACGACTATACACACACACAAAAAAAAAAAGAAAAAAAAGAAAAGAGAAGAAAAGGAGAGAAAAAAAAAAAAACGACAAGAGGAGGAAATTCGATTTGTGTGCTTTTATTACTTTTAAAATTGTCGCCGGTGGCGTATCTCTTTCTTTCTCTTTCTTGGCTTCTGCGTGGAGTCGCTCGCTCCCTTTTTTGAGGGTGAGGGTGATGAGAAGAAACAGCTGCGATGGGAAAAAAATAAGGAGAGGATGGGGATGACCCCAGAAG